CATTTGTTTGATTCGCCTTGCTAAAATTGGTACATTCAAAGGTATATTGATTAGGTTTTTGGACGTGTGGATGCTTAATATGTTTATATTATTAGTATATATTACTAATATATTGCAAATTTATCAGGTGAAAGATCTATTTCAAATGCCTTCAACATGTCTTTGTTGGAAATAAATCCAAACTATCCTGCTGTCCAAGAATTTGTGAATAAGTAAGTTTGTGAAAAAAACTTATAATATACCTCAAGGCCATGCTTTTCACATGGCCAACTATATGTGGCTATCTCAAGGGTAACTTCAAAGAAAGGACTGAAGATCCTAATAGTGGATAAAGAAGGCAAACCGCAGAAGGAAACGATGAATGTGGTGTTTAAGGAAGTTTTCCAGAACCTATAAGACTAAGCGTTGGAAGAGACATTTGTTCACAGAGGTAAGAACCAATATGAAATGATTCTTATATATATCTGTTATACTATACGAGTTTCTGATTTCTTTATGTCTGAGCAGGTCAAACAAGGTATGAAAACGTGTGTTTGGCAAATAAAGGAATCAGTGATTGAAGTTTCAAGAGAAGAACTGATCCCAACCCTACTGTTTCTGTTATTTTCATGTTTTCTTTTTACATGAATTCGAAGACATATCTAGCTTATAACAGCTTAACTTTGTTTTTCAAAAGTTTTTTGTCCTAATACCTTCATATTCAGTAATATGAAGTTAACTATTTCCTATTTATAAGTAATAATGGTTATTATTGAAAAAGCAGAGATAGATAAGGCACACGAGAATTAACGAGGTTCGGCAACGTGCCTACGTCCTCAAAACAATAACTAGATTCACTTAGACAATCTTTACAACAAGACCTTGCCTAACTGGAATTACACGACACTAAGAACCTCTTAGTTCGACACCAAACAATATCTAGTTACACCCAGTATTAGAACAACTAAACCTGTGTTCCAGCAAGCAGCTCGACTTGCCTACAAAAGCACCGAAACAGAGCAATTCATTTTTCTCTCTCTCTTTTCGGCTAGCCCTAGCAACACACATCTCCCTAGTATATATACCCATATACCTATGAGATATGTCACCCTAGATTTTATCCCGATACAAAAGGAAAATATCCTCTTCTAAATAAAAGAAACAAATCTTCAATAATATTCTTCTCCAAGAATATCTTCAATTGCACGTTTCTTCTGATTTGATCTCTCTAAATATCTTTCTGATATTTATCTTCAACTCCACGAGCCACGTCAGCACCAACCAAGCAATCCAAAACTTGTTTCAACAGACCGTTTCTTGTTCCAGCAAGATCTGCACTTTCATTCTCCCCCTTTTTAACTGAGTTTTACAACTCAAGCTCACCATAATTATCACGCATCCCCAGCAAGACATCATGATATACAAACTCCCCCTTAATCATATATCACTGTGATAATTAACTCTCCATGGATCTTCTACTCTCCATGGATCTTCTACATTCTCCCCCTGCTTGAGTGATAAAACTTTGTTAAAAAAAATACTTGCTGGAATATTCTCCTCGATCAGAATCGTCTTCCACTTGGATCTCTCCAATAACTCTCATTTCTAAATCTGAACTTTTTCTTCGCAAACTTTGCTTGATCATTTGACATGTGCTTCAAACACCTACATGTGCAGCACATCATCTTCCTTGGAGTATTGGTTGATGACTTATGAGACACATCACCATACAAATCCATCTTCTTAATCCAAACCTTTTGAAATCTCCTTGAATCTTGAACAAACTTCTTTTGCTTTAATGCACATCTAATCTTGTCACGGAACTTATAGCAGTAAGCCTTGATATGCCCTGACATACACAATAAAAGCATCCTGAAGTACAAAACACTTTTTGGTGACTCTTCTGGGTTTCAGTTCCAACAGAATTCAGCTTGTTCCAGCTAACAACACATGTTCTTAAATTTGATGAACTTTTGTTGCATCCACGAACATAACTCATCTTCTTCTCATCATAAATACATGGACTGGTACTTTTGACTTGTACATTATGCTCATCCATCGGAGTTATGATGAGACTTTTTGCGGTCGTCTCCAACAGGTTTTCCCTTGTTCCAGCAGATTTCGACAGATTCTCTTGAACAAAAATAGTCTTTGAATCAGATGTACCTCCTTGATAACCAAGACCAAATCTTGTTTTCTCTGTTCTTCCCATGCTTAGTATTTGATCTAGGTTCTTTGTTCCATTATTCAACATCCTCAAGTACTTTTCATTCTGCATGAGTTCATCCTCCAACCGTTTGGATTTTTCTTTTTCTGCTGCAAGTTCCTCCTTCACGTTTAGCATATGAACAACTTCATGATCTTCATTCTTCAAAGCACAAGAACACTTTTGATTTTCAGCAAGCTTGATTTTCAATTTCTCTGATTCTTCTTTCTCAAGAGTTAGCTCTTTCTCGATATTCTTCATCTTACTTTCCATCAACATCTTCTCATCGATTAGTACCATGTAGTCTTTACTTTTCTTAACCCAACTCTCATAAAGACTTTTGAATTCAGCTTGAAGATCCACCTCTTGATCGCTTTCTAAATCGCTGCTTGTGTTGGAGTATTCGCTACTTGTTTCAGCAGTTGATATAGAATCAGATATTTCGCTTCCTTCTTTGTGCTCCACGAATGAAGGTAATGCCACGAAGTTGGCTAACTCCTCTTCATCATATGTTTCACTCTCACTAGAGTCTTCATAGATATTTCTTTTTATCTTCACACCGTCGACACACTCAGATTTTGTATGTCCATAACCGTTACATCCTAAGCAACGAACCTTTTTCTTCTTCTTGATACTCGGACATGCAGACTTGATGTGTCCAAATCCTCTACATTCATGGCACTGTATACCACGTCTTCCTTCTCCCACATTTTTGTATGTGCCATGATCATTTTCCAAAGAGTTCTTACCCCTTTTTCCAACGTCTTTAAGAAGTTTCCCAAACATCTTCACAAGTGAGCTCATAGATTCTTCTAAATTTTGTATTCTCAACTTGTCATCATTCTCATATAGAGTTGGTCTATTGACACTATTTGAAATGACATCCTGTTGGTCCATCTCATACGCTTGTAGTCTCCCAACTATTTCATCAAATGGGGTCTCATCCGTGTTAAAAGCAGTTTCCATAGCCGCCTTTTGTGCCTCGAATCTCTTAGGCAAACATCGCATCAACTTCTTGACAAGCTTCTTGTCTTTGTACGTCTTCCCAATCACATGTGCTTCATTAGCAATCGCACACAGCTTAGCACTAAAATCTGTAACATTTTCGTGCTCATCCATTCGTAGATTCTCAAATTGAGAAGCTAGCCTGTCAATTCTTGATATCTTCACACTTTTTGTTCCTTCAAAAACTTTTTCTAGCTTATCCCACGCTTCTTTGGCTGATTCACACCCTTGAATCAACTTGAATTGATTCTTGTTAACCGAGGTAAAAATAGTAGATAAAGCTTTTGCATTATACCTTGACATAGTCTTCTCATTCTTTGTCCATTTAGCCTTTGGTTTAGTGACAATAGAACCGTCTCTTTCTTCAATTTTTGGGACTTCATAGCCATCTTCCACAGCCGTCCAAGCATCCTCATCAATACCTTGTATGATTGCCTTCATATTCACCTTCCAATATCCATAGTTTTCAGCATCTAACGCAAGACTTTTAACTGCCAACCATTCTCGAAATATATCATCCATCTCTTTCCTCAGGATCCTCACCCGTTTGTGGAGTCAGACTCTTTACAGATGTCCGCTCTGATACCAATTGAAAAAGCAGAGATAGATAAGGCACACGAGAATTAACGAGGTTCGGCAACGTGCCTACGTCCTCAAAACAATAACTAGATTCACTTAGACAATCTTTACAACAAGACCTTGCCTAACTGGAATTACACGACACTAAAAACCTCTTAGTTCGACACCAAACAATATCTAGTTACACCCAGTATTAGAACAACTAAACCTGTGTTCCAGCAAGCAGCTCGACTTGCCTACAAAAGCACCGAAACAGAGCAATTCATTTTTCTCTCTCTCTTTTCGGCTAGCCCTAGCAACACACATCTCCCTAGTATATATACCCATATACCTATGAGATATGTCACCCTAGATTTTATCCCGATACAAAAGGAAAATATCCTCTTCTAAATAAAAGAAACAAATCTTCAATAATATTCTTCTCCAAGAATATCTTCAATTGCACGTTTCTTCTGATTTGATCTCTCTAAATATCTTTCTGATATTTATCTTCAACTCCACGAGCCACGTCAGGACCAACCAAGCAAATCCCAAATTGTTCCAACAGACCGTTTCTTGTTCCAGCAAGATCTGCACTGTCAATTATTGCTAACCAAACAGTCCGATCAATTATAATATAGAAAATCTCACAACTTACTACTTCTATTAACAAACATATGCAGAATAAAGCTCCAACAGCATCACAAGAAACGAAATTACTTTTTAAAATTTCTGACATAATTAATTTGTAAGTATTTTATCTACACTTATTCAACCAAATTTGGAAATCAATAGAGTAGGTCTATATTGTTATCACCTAATCAAAAGTGTTATGTTTAATATCTTACTAACCTTTTAAATATAGATCTCTGAAAACCTCCAATTACTACACCAAATCTCTTCCCTCCTTAAGAATCCAACTTCAAACCGATCATTTGTCTGCAGATTTTTAACAGTTATCAAAGTTTCATTTGTACAACCATATAAATCATTCTAAAGACTAAGAAACATTGCCGTTTAAAATTAAACGGATTCTACCAAATTATATTTCAAGAATGCTCCAAATTGAACTGTTACTGCTTCAGCTCCATAAGAATTATGTGCGCAAAATTGTACTTCGCCTGCAAACATTGAACTTTGTATCATGAATCTAACATTCAGCTAAAGAATAATGAAGCAGGAGCATTTTGCAATAAAGTGCTCAAGTTATACAATAATCTGGATAAAAAAACTTATCTTCGTTATTCTTCTTCTTTTGAGAAACCATCGAAATATGGCTACTAATCTGAAACAAGTATAAAAACAAAAAAAAAAGATTATAGATTTACAGCTTAAAAGATATACTGAAATTGATTAGATTTAGTCTATTAACACTATGAATTTTGAGAAGAAACAGATTGATTGACTAACTAACATGTTTAAACAAAACGAAACATGTAAAAAAATTGCATGCAATTAGATATGAAAAAGGTAATAATTAATCAAATTTTTGAAGGGTTATTCACAATCGTTGTATAAGATCTATAATGAAACAAGAAAAAATCTATGGTAGAAACCCAATCGACAGATTCCAAAAAAGTTCAAACAAAAATCAAAGAGAAGAAAAGCTTACCTCTTTTAAGATCTTATAATTTGCAAAGAATTGATGTATAAGCGAAGACGATGGAAGTGGATTTCGGATGGATTTCGATACAGCTTCGTCGATCGGCCGACAAAGATTATTTTCTCAGATTGGAAAATTGTTGAAGGTTTCAGACAAAGAACAAAAAGGAGTATCTTCCCAGATAAAAAAAAACATAATATGAAATAATGTCAGGACCAATATTTGTGTGTTTTACGGCCCAACACAAATATTTATGATGAATGTATATGGCCCATTACGACAAATATCTTGAATTTGGACCAAGAAAAAAAAACAAAATGTGACCATGTTAGTGTAAAATTGATATTAATCATTATAAATTAATAGTATAGAGTTGTATCAATATAAAAAAATTAATAGTATAGATTTGATATTTTTTCCTTACTATACTAATTACTAAACACAGAAATTATGTTACAAAAAAAATTTAATTTAACAAGGTAATGTTTTGTAATACCCAACTATTTTTATACAAAATATACCGGAATACATATGTCTCGAACGATTTGATCAGTTCTCAATACTAATATATTCAATCCGGTAATTTGTTACATAAATCTATTTTAAATAGTCATAACAAATTCAAACTGATACACACATTAGAAACCTAGATGTCATAAATTTTATACTAGAAAATCGTATGGTACAAAAACCCTGCACGTTTGATCTAGTATGTTATTACTTCATCTACCTAACTACCTCTGTTTGCTTTGGTGCTTACGTATGGACTGAATTCAGAATTTCCATTAATATGCTTCCATATATATATATATATATATATATATATATATATATATATATATATATATATATATATATTATCATAGGACTGTTTGTTATATAGGTTTATAATCTTTTATTGTATTTCTAAACTTTGTTTATTTTCAATGAAATATTTACATTTTCACATTCTTGAAAAGAAAAGAAAGAAAAAAAAAACTAAACTGATCAGAATGTCAATTTGGGGAGAT